GCGATCGATCACGAATGCACAAAACTCCCGTTCATTATGAAGCAGTTAGTTGGAAGTGCAAAAAGGCAGGAGTAAAAATAATTTGTTGAACTATTTGAGTTTTTGCCAAGACGGTCCTCCACCGTTACATGTTGGACGATGGAATGGTTGGTGTAGCAGCCACCGCCATGGATGTATTCGAGCAGTTCGAATGGTCGGATGGTATAGTTTTTGTTTGGTTGTTGACTTTCCGATTAAAACTCAAGCACCGCCCGTCGTGACCGGCCCAAGATTTTCAGCGTCGGCCACGGCTACACGAGTTAGCGATGCAACTCCCACTTCTGCGGTTGCTTCCAAAGCTGCTGCTGCTGTTCCGTCTGCTGGTCCGTTTCCTTTTAAATTAGTAAAAAAAAAGACGGGCCAGCAGCAGCATTGGAAGCAGCGGCAGCCGTAGGAGCTGCATCGCTAGTTCGTGTAGCCAATGCCCGGAAACCTCGATCAGGTCAAGATACCGATGTTAGCTGTTCTTCGTCTGGAAGGAAATGTGGATGCGACTGCCGTCACGGGTGTAACGATTTTGAGAATCCATGGCGTGACTTGGTGGAGATTCACGGTTGTTTTGAAAATAATTTAACTAGGAGTGGCAACATCAATAACATTTTGACACATGCACACTGCGCAGGCGCAGAAAAATTTCAGTGTTGCCAGTAACTTTAAAGATCATAAAAATTGTAACCATGGGTGCCAAACAACGACAATGACTGCACCCGGGTGTGCCCAAGTTTGATTTTGGCACACTGTGTAGAGTGACCAACCCCTTGATTAGATTAGAAAAATGCTATGAAATTACGTGCCAATTATTAGGAATCGAATGATCCCCAGAAGTTTGTGTATGTATAGATCCCAGCTCCTTCAGCTTCCGCTTTTCTATCTAAGAAGCAAGGTAGACAACTACTTAGGCCTCATTATGCTCATTTTGGGCCTGTCGAGCAGTAAATACCAAATATATCCATGATGTTTCGTTAACGAGTCAATTAAATATATGTTTGGTAACGATACATTAAATCAAAGGCTACCAATCAAAATCTATAAGAACGCACGGAAAGAATTTTGACAAGAAGCAGTGTTGCATTCTTAGCAACAAATAAACAATTGTGACTTTTTTTATCAAATGTACCGGTACATTTGGAAAGGTGAATAAATTTAGAAGTGATCTGTAGTATAAACATTCCATTTTGAGTAAAAACCCACTCGAAAAAGAGATGCAAAGTGCGCGTTGTTCTTAGTAGGCGCACAATTAGATGTCAGCCCTTCTTCTGGATCCTGAAATTGAAGATAACTTCGTTCGCTGCATTCATGTGCTCGAATATAAATTTACCGAAACTTTCTAGATTGTCATAACATATGCATGATCGACGGAAAACAAATCGAGAAAGAAAAAACAGGTACTTGATGGTACGCTTATCTTTTGATTTTATTTTGAGTATGTTAACCTTGAAATAAAAAAAAGTTATAATCAAATGAATAATCTATTTCGAAATCTGCAACAGCTCTACTTTCAAATACCATAGGATTGGGATTGGGATTGGGATTGGGATTGGGATTGGGAGCAATATCGAATGTTTATGGAATATAGCTTCGATCCAAACATTTCTTTGCAACCCAAAGATGGAATTATTTATGCTCTGGAATCTCTGACTACTTCTATAGTTGATGCAAGAGCTGCCTCAGTACCAAAATGCGAGGTTAAATTCGATTGAATTATAAAAGACGACGATCTTCAGTTCTTGATCCGTCTTAAAAATGTCCGTAGGAGACAATATCAAAGAACACGCGATCCTGCCATGAAAGTTATCTGGCGGGATTTGCAAAAACAAATTAAAAAGCGATTCTCTGCTCTGAGGAACAAAAATTTTGAAAATAGTGTTTCTAAATTAGACCCAAGTTCCAAACCTTTTTGGAACCTCACATTTTTTTTTAAAAAACCTCAAAAGCCAATTCCAGCGCTTAAAGAAGGTGGCCACATTGTGATCACAAATTCGAAAAAGCTCAGAAACTTGCTAAGCAATTCGAGAGTTCCCATAATTTCAGTTTGGGTCTTTCTAGTCCTATTGAGAATATCGGGTTAATCTGAATATTTTTTCTCGGGAAAATATTTTTGATGATTTCTGGGGGACTGATTGGGACGAATTAAGATCTATAACTGAAAATTGTCATAATATGAAAGCTCCAGGATGGAATTTTCTATATCCTCATCAAAAAAATAACTCCCAACGAGAACCTTGTCTTTCTTGGTAAAATTATTTAACTGATTATTCCATTTGGCACACTTTCCAGATAAATGGAAAAATGCAAAAGTTGTTCCAATTTTGAAGCCGGATAAAAATCCAGCTGAAGCTTAGAGTTACCAATTTAATTCGTTCAAACAAATGTCTGAACTTGCTCTTCTAGACATAGAAAAAGCATTCGGCAAAAAAGGTTCAAAAGGTTTAACTTTCCACTCTCAAACGTAATTAATGACCGCTCCTCTGTCTAAAAAAAACACGAACTGGTCAGTAAATTTGAGCAGCATCGCAATAAAGGAGCGTTTTTCAAAAGTTTAAGAAGCATTTCATTGTTTTAATGGAACAAAAACTATTTTCTCTCTAAGTATTCAGTGTTAGCAACCTCTGATCGAACAAGGCGTCAATAATCTTTTTTTTTCGGATGAGTGAAATTATATCATAGTATTTAAACCTAACCTGCGTGTCACCCATAATTATCAAATGAAGGTCCCCGTTACGTACCTGTAAATAGATAAAAAAAATTACGATTAGTTTTAAATTATAAGCTATTGGCAACACTATATTTTATTTTTGTCGAATTGTAATAATTGAAAACTTGATCATGTCGAAAGCTATATAATTGTACGGAAGTTTTAAAACTTCAAATAAGATTTGAAGCTTTAATGTGCAGAATACGAGTACACGCCAATTCAAGGCATTGGAAACTTGTTTCCAAAATCAAAAACTTGTTTCTCAAATCCCACTTAAGCCTGTTTGAGTGAAATACATTTGTCAAGACTACGTAGGTACGTGCTCGAGAACACGAGTTTATGGGTTTCATTACTTTCTATACAATCCATCGAACACTAAATTCAATTTATGACATTACTAGAGCGTTCTTTAGAGGTCAGAGATGGCTGATAACGTTTAAAAAAATATTCAGCAAGCATTAGTACTATACTCCCTTAGCTCAGTCGGTAAAGGTGAAGCTATATATACCATGCTGGAAACGGCTGGGTTCGATTCCCAGTCTGGTCTAGTTTTTTTGGATTGTAGAATTGCTGGACTCCCCAAAGCTTAGAGAATGATTGTTCTTAGTGGGGACGTAATAATCAAAAAAAAAGAAGAAGTGGTTCAAAACTGTGGAAAAAATAACTGATGATGGCGTATTAACAAAAACGAATTAATACCAAATATTATACCAACAAAGACACTGTTAATCCTGTAGCAAATACATTGAATTGAATTGAAAGTTTTCATTCATAAAAAATGATCCCCGCTAATTTTTTGAATCTCAACCAGCATTCCGTGATTTTCACCGTAGCAAATATCAAACCATTAAAACAAGTTGACCATACGCCCTCATCCCTTTAATCGTCCAATTCCGCTCGACGGTATTGACCTATCTCAACATTCCGCATCGCTGGCTGCTGCTAGCGAAATGCCTAGTAGCAAGAGCGCCATCAGCCCGCAGCAGCAGCAGCAGGTTTTCCGTCTGAACTCTTCCCACAACCCGCACGTAATCAGTCGCATCTAACAATAAGGCATGAGACCGACAGAAGGGCTGCTTTCGCGATGCGCGATCTACCAACACGTACAGCAGAGCAGCGACGAGGGCATCCCGAGGGGTCAACTCCAAATGTTTACGATCTTCACAGCATCTCGCATCCATCGCCGTAGTCAGCATGCAGCCAAATGCGATCGAGAGTGAGAGAAAGACTCACGCTCACTTTCATTTGGCCTCGACCGTCGTCGTCGATCTGTGTGTGTGCTTTCTCTCGTGACTCTGCCAATTTCTCCCTCAACGCGAACCAAGCTTGGAGCATAGAGTTACATATTGGGCTCCCCAAGAGATCGTGCGGTTGGAGTTGGAGTTTACCAACCAGATCTTCCGAATTTGGACAACCCGCCGATCAGTCGCGCTGTGGCAGTTGTATCCGTGAGTTCAACGCCTAGAATCTACAATCGCTACGATAGTTAAATTGAATTTTGGCGTCGCGTCGTGGAGTTTAAGTAGAGATTTTTGAATTTGGCTTTCAATTGTGCAGCCAAGGGTTTCAGATCGAAGAAAAGGAATTAAAATGGAAGAAGGATTTTTCTACCTGTCATCAGACTGGACCTGATTCCGGGTATCCTTAGGCTGCAAGGACAAAGGAAGTGCTTTGTTTCGACTTCTCGAGAGAAGCAACATGAAAACGGTTTTCTATGTGAAGTTCTGTTTTCAAAAGGTTACAGCAATCATTAGGAAGATGGAAAAGTCATAAAATACAATTCAATACAATACAAGCATACATCATTGAAGTGAGAATTTCTCGTGAAAAAAAAACGGAAAGTGAATAAAACAGATGGAAAATCAAAGACCGGAGAAGAAGGAATGAAGTGATTTTGAACAACGAAGAAATAGATTACTATGCGCTTATCATAGTACCACCATCTATGCTCGTCTTCTCCAATGGATTTGTTTTTTTTTTCGTTATTTGTAACATGTTTCGGGATGGATGTGGATGCGAAGGCAGCTGGGGTACAGCATCAGTTCGGTAGCGTCTAGAGCATCAGTTGAGGTTGGGAACTCTCGGCGTTTGATTGTGTTCGATTCGGGAGTGACACATCTGAAAATCGTTCTAAATTCAATTACAGTGAAAAGGAATAAGCCCCTAACTGATTTAACCGGTAACAATTAATCTCAATTGAGTGCCGAAATTCGATTGCTAGTGGATTACATAGCAACGTTATTTTAGAAAAAGAAAAGTGAGACAACGTTCCAAGTGTAACTGAAGGAAACGAAAACATATGAAGCCCCCTTTCATAATGTGCACATAATCCTTGAAGTGCATCGCAAACCAATAAAAGAAAAGTGAAAACCCAGAATTGACAAGGAATGTAGTGAAAGCTGAAGCTCTCAGACCTTCACGATCGCTACGAAACGAAATTATTGTGCAACTACCGCCAGAAAACCAAAAAAAAACAAAACCCATTCGCATAAAAACCTTCACTTGCATCCAAGGATACCCATTTCTCCCCTCGGAATACGGATTCTTTCCGTAGAGCTCTGCAACGCAACAGCAACAGCACCTTTAAATTTGGCGGTATTGGAACGAGCGGCGCCGTGAGCGGTGAAAATCATTAAAATGAAGGTAAGATCTTGAGGAGAGAAACTGTGGCTCTTGCTTGTATTTTCACCCGTTCCCCCGATCTGCCTTTCATCTCTGTGCCGAGTTTTCATCGAGAGCGAGAGTAATCGACGAAACCGGCTTCCAATCTGTTTATGTTTATTTTTTTTTCTGATTGTGAGCCCGAAAGTCACACGCACATGTATGGTAATGTTAATTGTTGCCGTATTATTTTTTTTTTTGGGAATGGTAGATTTTATTGTGTGGAAAAAAACTGTAGTGAACAGGTTCATAAAGTTTCAACCTGTGGAATTAGGGTGAAATGAGTGCTAAAATGTGTCAGGGTTTTATACTCCAAAACTGAAGTTTATTGAACTTGTGTATTTTGTTTGATTATCTTTATGCAAAAACCTTAATTAATGCACCTATGGTGAAATCTGACCCTTCTTAATAATATAAATTTCGACAATAGTGCTCATGTGATGTGATATAACAGATGAATTCTCAATTGATTTGAGGTATCGTATGATGGATTTGGACTCTGGCATGTCTGGATGTAGCCATTTTGGTCCTGAGCACTCCAGATGATTTCCATTGAATTGGCAGGATGTCTACTCAGTTCTCTAAATACATTTCCCTAAGTTTTCCAGGTTTTTTCCAGGACTACAACGGAAAGTTTCCAGGTTTTGACGTAGGACTACGTCTTTGATTTCTATATGGGGGTACACTTTGTGAAAACCGAAAATAAAACATGTAACAAATTAAGAAAGATTTTGAACGTTAATAACTCAGCTGCCCCTGGTCCAATTTCAATAATTTTATCTCCAATCGATCAGATATATAGCTACGCATCGATAACAGTGATAACGAATGTTGATTTTCAACAAGAAACTATTGAAAAACTGGTAAATGTCCAGCATTGTCCAAAAGCGTCGAATTAACTAACAAATCCACCAATTACCTACATGCATATGCTGCTTCCCCAGCAAAGTCATCAGAGAGTAGTAAGTAGACGAAACAAGTCGAAGTGGCAGTCGCCTCCGATCCTCGGGCGCGTGCGAATAGGGAGGATGGAATTGCGTAATATTTTGCACACTCATCGCCATATTCAGAACCAGTCACAAATTCTTCGAGATAACCACCATTCGTCGTCTGGCTCGCCGTGACGGTGTCTGCCGTATCTTCGGTCTGATTTACGAGGTGTGCTGAAGGTGTTCCAGAAAAATGAGATCCGTGATGCTGTCACCTGCACTAAACACGCCAAGCGTAAGCGGCCATGGATGTCATCTACGTTTTGAAGTGACAGAGACGCACTCTGTTTGGTTTCGGAGGTTAAATCATCACCAACTTTGGCAACAAAACGGCTCTTTTCAGGGCCACCAAGCTTATTACAGTAAAGAGTAGGAATAGAATTCATCTGCCTGTTTGTCCATATTCAGAACCAACGATCACACAAAATGCTCATGTAATCAAACTGGAAGCAGGGGTACAAATTATTTTGATCAACCTTGATCAACTTTGAATCGCCTCGGCCGGATATTTTCGATGGAAGAAGCAACAATCTAGCATCTAATTCGACGAAGACGGCAGGAAGCATTTGTGAAGCCGGGTACTGAGCTCCAATGTTACTGACACCAGGGAGGCAGCTACCACACCTGGACCCTACCAATCGACCCATCAACTCAACTGGGGACCAACGGCTTTACTTCCCGAAGTAAGACGTGATCAGAGATGTTATGCCTTAGAACATGCCGGTGGCGCCGACTGAGATTGGACCCAGGCCTGCTGGGGTGAGAGGTAATCACGCTTACCACCGGCGCCGATATCTTTCAAGGGTAATGAGATCGACCCAATTTTGAGTTTAGTTATCTCAGAAATAAGAAATAAAGTGCAGGAGCTCAGCGATGAGTAAATTTGCACTCAGTCTATTGGTACTACTCCGAGACTGAATAAAATTTTCGTCACATTCCTCATTTTCTGGCAGACTTTTTAGGTTTTTCACAGGAAACCATGATACAAATTTACTCATCGCTGAGTTCCTGCACTTTTGGCGATTATGAGTGAACTAAACTCAAATTTGGGTCGTTCTCATTCGCCGTGTACGCAAAAGGAAAAGAATCAGTGTCGCTACTTGATAGCAAACTACTCATAATGGGAGGAGTCTTTGTAGCTTTTATACCACTTGATTGCACATCATTCTGCTTTAACCTGAAAAGATATAAAAGAGCGCTGATGTATGGCATTAGCTCATTTCCGCTTCGGACGGCGTGGTGAACAGCAATAGCAGCAGTAGGAAGGTGGTGGCTAGTCCACTCCTTCACACCTAACAAGCAACAATTTACTGGTTGTGGCAAAGGAGGAAAAGGTCTGGTAAAGGAGGCGCCAAGCGTCATCACAAAGTTCTTCGAGATAACCGCCATCGGTCGTCTGGCTCGCCGTGGTGGTGTCAAACGTATCTCCGGTCTGATCAACGAGGTGTGCTGAATCATCAAGCCATCAAGCTTACATCAATAAAGAGTTGGAATAGAATTTATCTGTGCTTGTTTATCCATATTCAGAACCTCAAGCCCCCAACGACCACACAAAATGCTCTCCAGAGTTGTAATCTTGTAACCAAAGTTGGAAGCAGGGGTGCAAGTGATTTCGATTGATTCTCTTAATCAACTTTCTCTTTGAAAAGATTACTACAAATTTGGTACGCTTACAATTCAAAAACGGAAAGAGTTGAGATAATAGATAATTGATCAATTAAAAGAACTAAATGCTCTTCACATTTATTCCGTCCACTAGCGGTCCTACGTCAAGCTTCCGTTCGTGCCCCTAGGCACAGACCCTTCTACTTTTTGATTAAAATTACAAAATATTCACGCTAAAATATACACTTTTTTGATTAAAACAGTTGCTAATGTGCCACAAACGTGTCTAGTTGACATAGTTTTAAAATAACAGCTAAAAGTTGAACTTTTGTTCAAGTTGAAAGACATGTACTGCATGGTAAATTTTTAGCAGAATAAGAAAATTGTTTCATTGATGTAAGGATAGCTCTTTTCTTTCTATATTCTAGACCGAAAAACGTATTTTCAAATCTTGATGAATTTGGGTGTCTTAGTGGAATGCCTGTATAAAGAGAGAGAAGGATTACTAATTTCCATTTAATTCCATTACATTATTTGCTTATCCTTGACAGATACGCGTATGTCGGCTACAATGTATAGACTTCTTCAGTATCTTGTACTAATACTAGTATTAGTACAAGACACTGAAGAAGTCTGCACATTGTAGACGAAATACGCGTATCTGTCAAAGATAAGCAAATAAGGTAGTGGAATTAAATGGAAATTACTAATCCTTCTCTCTCTCTCTCTCTCTCTCTCTCTCTCTCTCTCTCTCTCTCTCTCTCTCTCTCTCTCTCTCTCTCTCTCTCTCTCTCTCTCTCTCTCTCTCTCTCTCTCTCTCTCTCTCTCTCTCTCTCTCTCTCTCTCTCTCTCTCTCTCTCTCTCTCTCTCTCTCTCTCTCTCTCTCTCTCTCTCTCTCTCTCTCTCTCTCTCTCTCTCTCTCTCTCTCTCTCTCTCTCTCTCTCTCTCTCTCTCTCTCTCTCTCTCCCTCTATCTCTTTCTCTCTATCTCTCTCTCTCTCTCTCTCTCTCTCTCTCTCTCTCTCTCTCTCTCTCTCTCTCTCTCTCTCTCTATTTACATTTTTAAATATAAATTTAAATAAAATACATACACAGACAACATTGTAAATATACAGTTTGAATATCACAACTTGAATCAATAGTAATCAATACGTTTCTGAATTTTAAATATTCTATTTTTAACAGAAATGCTGTTATTTTCAGAGGTATCATGTGTTATGTTTTTTCGAGGTGAAACTCATTTCATTATGGCAAGATTTTATGTTAATTACAAACATGAATAACCAAGGGCGGAGACGAGGCGTAGGGGAGTGCAAAACCTTGAATGAACTGGTAATATTTCAAACGATCAGAAATCTAGTTCCAATAGTCAATCATTTGTGTTACTAAGATTGGTTAAAAGCTTTATTACTAAGTCTAAGATAACAACAATTTGCAAAATCTTAATGTTTGAACATTTGTCTAGAAAAAAAAAGTCCCTTGCAATTTGCTCCATAGTACTCCAAAATTCTCTATCTATGGCTCTTTAATTCACTCTGATATTGTCTTAAAATTCTCAAACGGGTTCCTCAGTATTCACAAATTATTCCCAGCAAATTCAATGAAATAATTTTCAGAATGCTCAAAAAACTCTTCTTTGAGATCTCAAAAAATATATTACAGGGATGGACTTCAAACTATTTGACTACTACTTTAGTATTCGTTTGAACTTTACCTCCAAATTTCCTTGGAATTTTCCTAGAAACCTTCCGTAGAATCCCTTCGGAATCCTCCACCTTTTCATTGAATTCTTTTCAGAATTCCCATTGCACAGTGGGCCAGGAATTAAATCTTGCAGGAAAAAAGTAATAACGCTCTGGGATTTTCTCCAACTGAGTTGACGTCTTCAATGAAGATTCTTGATTTTTTTAGGACTACAATTTGTTGGATAAAAATAGTTCAAGCTTTGGCCGCAAAGATGGCACAGCGATACAAACTTTTTATTCCACAAGATAGAGGTTTACTGTTTCCAGCAAAGTTGTAAAACGTAAAATTTTATGAAAACTTGTCGAAGACATTAAATACATAACATATGTGGAACTTCATGCAAAAAGCTCACTCAAAGCTGACCCCTTTTTTGTTTTGCCTCAGTGGTATAACTGGCATAGTTGGACATCGATCTGTCAAAATAAAATTTTCGTGATATCGACACTGAGCATTCATTAAGGACCAATGTCGAAAATATAAATAATAGCTTCTTTCGTAAATGTCTTGTACATCAAAGTCAATACATGTAAGGGGCTGTCCATAAACTACGTAGACAGTTTAGGGGGGGGGGGGGTGTTGAGAATTATCCACGGCCCATACAAATTTTAAAAAAATGTATGGACAATTGTCTACGCAGGGGGAG